TATGCTTAGCAACATAAACATAGTAACTAAAATATTATTTGAACATTTTTCTAAGTGTATGATTATGTACGTGTATAATATTTTATTTTAAAACATTAAAGTTTTACAGAGATACTGTAGTTACTAAATCAATTATGAATTATTTATTTTTCACCTGAGGAGAGTTTTCGGTTTTTTTTTTTTTTTTGGAGAAATAGCTGATAGTTAGTAATTTCGGCATAGGTTAAAATTGATTAGATATAATAATAAAACAATTACTTTGTTAATATACTTGAAATTGGCAGCACCATAATTTCATTAAATATATAATATACATTACATATACATATTATATTAATAGGGTTTAATTTTATGATTAAACAAATTTAAATGGTTATAATATGTGATTCTATCTCAATATCGATAAGCGTATAATTTAAAAAAATGTTTGTAGCAATTATTTGTTCTAAGTCTAACATGTCTTGCAAATGTGATTGCTTTATAATATTGACGACCATTATACTATAAATTCTGGTAAGTTTCATATTTCGAGCGATTTTTTTTTCTCGCAAACATTAAACCACGATAATCTACCAAATGTACATGCTTGATTCGCGACGCTTTGTAATTAAGAAATGCGCAACGGTGAAACGTCGACGCCCCACAATATGTTATAATATACTAACAGAAAAAATTTCAATGTAAACACCAGTTACCGACAATTTTGAATACACAGCCCAATGGAAATTAAACGTCAGGCGGTTATCGAAATCGAAACAAGCGGTTTTGTTTGCATATTATCGATGAACATTGTACCACCGTGTAAAAAAATAGGTGTTATTATTAATAAATGCATAAATTAATAATTTACGTTTGATTTCGACGAAAATTATGCCTTTGTAGTATTTTATGGTAATTTTTTTATTACAAATTTAGAATACACAGCTATAGTGTCACTAACTAGTAGTAACTATCAGCAGTAGCTTCGATTTTGGCAAACACGCTTAACTGGAACTTTATTCGTCTACCTTTGACTGAATATCTTATACAATTATTTATAGTTAGCTTTGTATTTTACATTTTAAAGCTGTTAACAAAACAACTTATTTTATCAAAATTAATGTAAACCGTTGATTAACGAAATGTATGAGAAAATTAAAAAATTATATGTTTAATGTAGCTTTAACTTTATAGTTAGAATAACTTAATGCTTTTATAGGAATTTTGGTGCAATTTTACAATCACAAAATTAGATCACAGAAAATAAACCTTATTATACTATTTTTAAATATTACAAACATAGTTAAAGTGTTTTAGTAAAATTCTTCGTTTTATACAGAATTTATAAATTAAAATATCATCAAAAAACATCAATCCACCCATTTAAGTTTTATTTAATATTCTCTGATGACTAAGCGATCGATAGGAGATTTTATCACTACCAATCAGATAATTTTTATACATTTTTGATTTAGTTATAAATATTCGTAATGTCAACTACATTGTTTGACTAAAGTACTATCGTTAACAAGCAAAATCATAAAGAGTTATGTTCAAATTTATCTTCTTCGCAATTTAGTTCTAAATTATCACGCGACTACATACGCGTCCGAATGAGATGAATAATTAAAGTATTATGACTGCTCACCTGTACTATTTTTATTGTGAACGATTACGTGATTGTTGTATTAAGCTATTATGGCTAATGAACTATATTACCATTAAGAAATGAATGAAATAGGGTTGTGCTGATCTAATGTTGTTATAAATATGTATATACAAAAGCACGGTTATACAAACATTTGATTTTTAAAAATATCTGATGCATTACAAATCTTTAAGCGTCCGCTGTACGAACGTTTGTCACCTGAGGTACGGTTGGTAACTTCTGTTGGATGTGCAGTGCAATAATAACGGGTCGAGAAAACGCGTACAGCTATTCTACCTACCACTATTATTGTTGTTTAACAATATATAGTTTAATTTCGTTTGCCCAACGCAGTTATTCGATACGTTGTGTTGAATGAATTATTTCTACGTATACGATAAAACATCGAAATAATTTTTATCCGGTTTAAAATTGTACGGTTTTGCGGGCTTCCAAAGTTCGACTACCGACTTCAATTTATATATATATATATATATATATACACGTGCGTGCGTGCGTGCGTGTGTGTGTGTGTGTGTGTGTGTGTGTGTATGTGCGTGTATTATAATGGTCGTAAGGAATTTTATGTTTTCGACACGTGAAGAATGAAAAACAGCTAACGAGCATGAGGAAACGTATACGGTTTATGAAACTGCTAACGATATATTTTATGCCTCCGTACGTACAGTACGTTTTTATTACGATAGGTGACACCTGAATGTCCATTGCGTACGGCAATTCGGTTGGGTTTTATTGGACGACGTGGTCGTGATTTGATTTATATTTCGCGCACTTGTTTGTCAACGTAATCGTACGCTTTAATATCTTCCGATAAATCACGACACACGTATACCTATGTAATATTATAAATTTTTTTTTTTTTTGAGAAAAACTTCCGTAAGTTTTATAACGCACGGACAATATATATGTTCCTCGTATAAATTTAATGCATACTTATTTATTTTTTTAAAATTTTTTTCTTTATATTTTTTACAACGCGCGCGCAACGTTCGAGAATCGAATCACAAAAATAGTTATACCTTTGCTGTTATTGTAATATATAGTTGCTGTTACAATTGCGGCTTTAACGATATCCACGTATTATTACACGTTATGCGCACAAAGATTATGTGTGTGTGTGTTTATAATCTTATACATTGCACTGTGTGTGACCACGCACGTACATATGCGCATTAATATATTATATATATGGTAGTAGGTACATTGTGTTGTTACGTTAAAACGTGTAGGTATATATGGTACACTCGGTTATAAGGCACGGTGACGGGTATGTGACGTAATTAAATCGATTGGTTATAGACGCTTTTTTTTTGCGCTCGCTTTCCGTTGTAAAATTATGTATTTCGTTTTAAAACCTAGTGGGATACGTGTGTACAAAAATAGAAGACGGCGAATTGCCCATTCATATTGGGTGTACAATGGTTAAGTAAGAGGAGGAAGGGAGTTTGATTTGAGATTTATTAGGGTTAGGCGGAATGCAATGGTTAGGATGAGAATCGAAAAACGCAATATTTTCGGTTCGCGTGTATCGGCGATAATTTTGAAACGGCGGATCGCTGTAGGGTTTCATTGATAACGACACTGTCGATATTTTATAAGCAATTTTTTTTCTCCATCGACGGCATGTTATATACTTATAATAGTGGTGGTTTTGGTGACTTTCGTAATGGCAGTATGTATGGCTGCACACGAATTGCGGCCCGAAAGAAAAAGTCAATAAATAGGTATTCGAGTTGCATCCTGAGTTTTTTTGGTGGTGTGTTTGTTAATAATTTTTATAAAAGTAAAATTACATCAGTGATTTTAAGTGAAATATATTGAACTTTATTTAGTATAGATGGATACAAATATCGTTCCCATAAAATATTGAAAAATTATATTCAACGTTGGAGTTGCTGTAAGAAAACGTGTAAGTTATACATTAAATTAAACGATAACAATGACGTTATATATAAAAAACAAAAAAAATAAAATGATATATTTAAAGATTCTGCTGAACTATTTAATAATTAATTCATCTCGATTTCACTAAAAAGGTTTCATTCAAGTTTTCATCGGTCTTATAATTTTTTAAATCTAAATCTAATATTTTAATTTCTTAATTTTTTTATAAAATTATAATTATTTTTTAATATGATTTCTAATTACATAACAAAAAAAAAAAAAAAAAAAAAAAAAATGATATATTTAATCTACTGTTATTAATAATTTATTATTGATAGTTCTGAGTCTGTATGAAATAGGATAGAAGATAATGTTTTTATTTTGGGACGCGATTCATATAGTGGCTAATTAATATTGAGACGAAATTCGTGTAATCGTTAAATATCGTTGGGATGCAATTCGTTAGGAAAAGAGATTTCGTGAGTATCGATAAATACAACAAGGACGTGATGTGCGCGATTGTTAGTATATATATATATATAGTGAGTCTTTGCCTCGCTCGACGATCAAGAAAAGTATACCACGTTAACTGATACGTGTTTATGAGATTTAATAGCGGTTCAAGAAGTATTTTCGAGATCTTTGTGTATCCCGAACTCTCGTAAATGTAGTTCAATGTCAACGTACCTATAGCGGTTTTTATTTACCGAACAGATTTAGCGATCATGCGAAAACTCTATTATTGCAAATACCCATATATATATATATATATAGCTTCTCTATCGTCGAACAGCAGTGAAAGTATAAATTTTGAGAAAAAAAATCTGTTACGTGTACAACGGCAATGATAAAGTAGTAATATTTCGATTGTAACATTATGAAAACGCATAATATGCGTTTATAATATATTATATTGTTTAGGTATAAACGCGTAAAAATAGATCGTAGTAGTGAATAACAGCATCGTGTAAAGGTCATTGTGGTGCATTCTGTGAGCGAGAGGGATCAAGACACCTCAAATTCGTTATGTAAAAAAATATAATGTTTACATATGTCCATATAGTACAATATGGACATGCAGTTTTGTGAGTATAAGCATGTGAGATTATAATTTTTTATGTAGTCGCTAAAACGTACTGGAACGATTTCAGAACTAATCCCGAACAAAAATCCCGAACGCGCGCTTTCCCGACATCCGTACACGAACATCTCGGAGCATTTCAAGTTTTAACCCTTTTGTGCAGTACAAAGCGAACGTACAGGCGAAGACACGACTGGGATCGTTGCGTTCGGGAACGCGGTTGACGGTCGGCCCGAACGAATTGTACTGCAAAAACCGGGGCCGATCCAGCCGAGGGCTACGGGGATGCGCGCGCGCGGATACATGGAGTGGAAAAGGAGCAGAAAAGCTTTTACGCGCTATGTTAGAACACGGTTTATCATGCGTGGCAGCGATGCGTATACGGACCGTTTGCAGTTTCCTGATGACCAGTATGTAGAAGACGAATATCAGCATGAGCGGTATGGCGAAGCCGAGGACGAACGAGTAGAGCGTGAACGCGGTCTGGCCGCTGAACAGCTCGTTCTCGGGCCATATGATGTTGCAGCTCTTCACGTTGCCCTTGTCCATGGTGCTGGCGTACATGATGACCGGTATCATGAGTATGATGCTGAACGTCCACGCGGTGACGGACACGATCTTGGACACGTATGCGGTGCGCACCTTGGACGACGATATCGGATGGCATATGGCGATGTACCGGTCCGCGCTCATGATCATCAGGAATATGCTGCTGGTGAACTGGTTCACGCTGGTCGTGGTCATGTACACCTTGCACATGATGTTGCCGAACGGCCAGAAGTCCATGGACATGGTGACGATCAGGAACGGTATGCCGATCAGGAAACACTCGTCGGCAATGGCCAGGTTCACGATGTACATGTTGGTCACCGTCTGCATCTTGGAGAACCGGATCACCACGTAGATGACCAGCGTGTTGCCCACCAACCCGATGATGCACACAATTATGTACAGGATCTTGGATATCAAGTACAGTGACGTCTCGTGGCCTGACGTGTCGCCGCAGTACAGCGCGTCCCGGTCGCCGGTGCCGTTGTACGGGCTCATCGCGTCCGTGCCGTTGTACACTCCGCCCATCGTCGGCTTCGCGGGCGGCCAACCGGCCGCGGCCAGCTGCACGACGCTCGGGAACTCCATCGGCGGCCGACCGTTTTACCGACTACGTGCGCTGCGTGTCCGTCCGCCCGGGAGCGCCTGGTTGCGCAGGTGTGTCGCGTTCTTGTTATCCGCGGCCGCCTTCGTCCTTCGTCGTCGTCACGGTCGCTTCCCTTCACATTGTCATCGTCGTTCGCCTGCGGACCAACGAAAAACAACGTTGAAACAAAATCGTTCGACAAAGCTTACAAGAACAAAAACATGCATTTATCGCGCGCGTCTGTGATCCCGACGACTAGCGTACATTTATAATTTGGTCTTTTTTTTATTTTTAACATTATTCGGTAAAGCTTTCCTGACATTTGTCATTTCACTGATATTTTTACATTGATTTGTATCGTTGTGTAGACGAGTAGATTTAAATGTAAACAATAAATATGAATATTGATGGTAACAATTACGGTGGTACAATAATAGCGTTTACTGTTAACAGATAATCAATACATTGATCGTGTGCAATGCATTGATGAGATTAGTCGTATAGTTAGTGATAATAATATGAATATCAAACGGATGGAGAGCTATAGATGTATATAGTTCCTAATTAAGTAGATTGTAGACGTCCACCCTCGAGTCGACGCGCTGTAGGTAAGTCTGTTAGACGGTAAAATTTAGCACTTTGAGCCGAGTTTAAATGGTTGGAAAAATTGTTTGCTGTAATTTTCTGTAGTTGGAAGTCTTTGCGGAGTGCATTATTCCGAACAAACCAAGGAGCATTAGGTATTGTCCTCAGAACTTTAGATTAGAAAACTTGGATTTCATTAATACGGGTGTAAGCGAAATTTCCCCGTATAGGGACTGCATATAAAAGTAATGGGCGTAGAATTTGTTTATATATAACGTTAGGGAATATTTCCAGTTTAGAGTTGTTTGTTAGTGAATCAATCGTATAATATTTTTAGTTTCTGGTAGCCTTGTTACAATTTGGCGATGATGTGTGAATTCCAGGTTAGTTTTCTATCTAAAGCTACGCCGAAATATAAATTGGCCTTAGCACATTACTCCGTTCTTGTTATTGTGTAACGAGTGTAAGCGAAATTATAAAGGAAACTACATTAAAAATGATTCTGAGGAAGCTTTCGGTATTGTAACCGGCTGAGATTTAATATCACAACATAATTTATTATGTAAACGTAACTTTATAAATATTTTAAAATGTTTGGACTTGAATCGAGCGTTGTCGTAAAGAATAAATGCAATTTTTTAAACCAATAATATTTTTTACGATAGATCTATTTTATTCAATGTAATTTATAGAAAGACAATTTTTTACTAAAATTTACCGATTCATTTGAATGACGTTGGCCACCGTTGATTGTGAAAAAGTCAAAATAGCATGAGTTTGCTCTGGTTTAGCAATCGGTGTGTAATAGATTATGTATAGTGGCTTCTAATTTATGTGAATATCGGTTAATACGGGCAACAGCCTAATATATCCATAAAGGTCTAGTTTCGTTATTTAATGCATATTAAGAAGGCTAAAAAACACTGCTTAATGTGGGCACTCGATTTGGCGTATGGCTGCAGTTTTTTTTTTTTATTAAAGCGTAATATAAACTATATTATATTCTTCGAAAACAACTTTTATAAATCATGATCATAGACAAAGTTATAACTTTTATAACGGGTTCACCATATAAAATAGCTGAACAATCTTGTATTCAGAAGTTAACGATCGCAAAATGTTTTGAAGAAGAAAACATTTTACATAAAACTTTCAATTCAAACCAAAAATGTAGTTAAAAATGAAAAAAAGAAAGGAAGAATCTCAGAGTCGACTAGATTATGAGTGAGTGATCTTTAATAACGAACCGTGATGTTCGCGTTTTTGGGTTCATGTTGAAAGTCAAAGTCATATATTATCGATGCGATAGGTTAATTAGGTTAAGGAATAGACACGATATTAAATTTATACGTGTGCACACGGTGAATAATTATTTAGTAAAAACAATTTCATATATTTAATTTAGCAGTATTTTTTTATATTTTTTAAACTCATATTGTATAGTATTCATGTTTTCTGAAATGCACTTTACTTTTTAATTGAAAACTCATGTATTTATTTTTTACACATTTTGGTTTTTATATTGGCAACCATTTAATTTGGGTACGTGGAACTGTTCCTAAAATGCCTATAATTAGCGTAATTGATTATATATTGTATACCGACACGGAACAACATGGGATCAAGTTTGTTATAACATATTTCCATCTAATTCTTTTCGAAAGCTACACATATACTTGAGTGTACGATTTTAACGATTTATTGCTTCGTCAACGGTAGTCAACTGAGATTAATAGTTGGCCGGTGAAAAAGTGCGAGACGATTTTATCGCATATAAAGAGATTTTTTTTCGAAATGATAAAATCTTATAGGAAAATTTAAAGCGATTAGTCTTTTAACCACAGTATTATTTTTTATGAAACCTTTAACCGATAGCCGTGCGGCGATTTAAAATTATTATGTAGCAACAATTTATTTAGAATTATAGTATCACAGTAAAGTATTTATTAAGAAAACATCGGCTGTCGTAGTGGTGAGAGATACAAAACTCGTTCCGTAGATTTGTTAAACGATAAATTAGTTTTAGCTATAATAAAAATTTAAAATTTAACACGTATGTTTATGCAGGTTCTTTAATGAATTTCTTGATTTCCTCAACACGGATATAAACTCATTACTGTTGGTATGATTTTTAAAACGGAATCGAATGAGTAGCGAAAACCTCTCACGATAATTTCAAAATAATAATATATATATACGTATATTGTTATAATATGTACGCACGATTACAGCAAATTAATACGAAATGAAACAATGAAATATATATTCATTGCTTTTATTAAATACCTTCATAAGACCCATAATAAAAAAGTAATAAAGGGGATTCCACTGCTTCCAAGCATATAGCCGCACTACATAGATTAACCGAGTAATACTCGAATTCAAATACAAAAATTCTTATTTTCATTTCTTATTTTTCTATGTATTCCAAAAAACTGTTGACTTGTAAGTCCTTCTATAATATGAACGTTTATAACTTAGAAATTTATTCATTTTTAACCTTTTTCACGATAAAAGTAATTAATTAAAGTTAAATCAGTAATTGATTTTTACGTTGAAAGTATATACTTAAGTACAAATTGTATATTAAAACAATATACATACTGCGGTAATTTATTCATGTATTTGCATAGAAATCTCTTCCACAATAATATTATAATTTTCCAGAAATCTTATTTAACTTTAGATATAAGTCATGGGTGTAAAAAATCACTACATTTCAATTATGGTTTTGCGTAGATAATACAGTTATATTAAATGCAATAAGTAATTTATTTTTAACGTTTAAACATATTATTTAGTTAAAAAGAGTGCAGATCAAAAATATAAATAGGACACATGCACTGCATAATACGGGAACCGTACTATTCTAGTAAATTTAAAAGTAATTTATATTTAATTAAAATAATTACTATATAAAAATGTAATTAATTAATTTTTAGATTTTCTAAGCATCATATGTTCATATAAAACTCTAAACTATAAAATACGACAAAGTTTTTTTTTGTGACTATGTTTTGGTGGTAAAAAAAATAATTGTTCATGTAGACATTAAAGTGAGAGCTTAAACACCTATCAACTTTTATAATTGTAACAGGTGAGTAATTAAATAAATGACATATTTTTGCAACTTTTTAGCTCTTATGAATATTTTGTCTTAAAATAAACCTGTATATCATGGAAACATGTAACATATAAAAATGTTTCGTGTGATCTTTTAGTAATCTATACAGTAGGGACTAAAATTGTGTGCAATACGATACACTTTGTGTAATACGAAATGTAAAGTGTTTAGTACGAAATTAAAAAGTGATGTGGTTCTATTCTCTACATTATGGTTTTTTTTTTTAATTTTACATTTTTTTATTAAATTGTCTTACATATTTTTAAAATACCATTATATATCATCAACAAAATTTAAAATACCAACTGTTTTAATGTGTAATTCATTAGTGTTAACGTTAGAAAGGGAAATATGATAAAATCCTTAAGTGTGCAGTACGAAAAATGATATATTTTAGATTCTGCTATACAGTGTTTTCTTGGTGAAAATAAATGCTATAATTCGTATGTACCAATATATATTGAAAAAAAACCTTTATAACGATTTTTTTTTTTTTAATAAATATGCTAAGCTCATTTTAGTGAAAATTTAATTAAATACACGCAATTGTAGTTGATTGTTTCATACTAAGCAATTTACGATAAATAATTAAATTATTATCCGTTTGCGTGAATTAATCATATAATTTTTAATCTAACACGAAACTCGTTAAAGTGGAAATCTGCACCTTCATAATGAATAGATAAATTTTGAGATTTTTTACTAAAGTTTTCAATATTTTTTTTTCCTCTGTATTATACATATTTTAATTAATTTGTTTAATAATCAATGTATAATTTATGTATAATATATTAAATAGGTACCTACTTTTGAACAATGATCAATAATACTTAATTTTAATAATACAATTTTTGAGTCATTGTTAAAAGACGTGTCACTATATTTTTTATCCACATTGCATTATTGTGTGTTCAGTGAATATAGATATTTTTATTAGTAGAAATAAAAAAAAAGTTCAGAAGAACTTCTTGTAGGAAACCGATACGAGTATATTATGCTGATGTGATTAATATTTCATTAACTTTATTGTACCAGAAAAATCACAATGAATAAGAGGACGAAGCGATATTATTTTGGTAACAAACTGGGTCGCTGTAAATTGCGGCCCATTTTTAATTTTTTTTGTATATTGTGGCCTGGGCATATTTTGCATATATGTAATCTGCGATCTGGCTATATTTTATACATATGTAAATTGCGGCCTGGATATAATTTTATTACCTACCCAAATATTTTTTATTTATAAGTAATAATTACGTTTAATCAACTTTACGTCTTGAGTAGTTAAAGATTCGATATCAGCATTTTTTTGATTTAAAATGAATAATTTTAGATGGCCTGGTAAACATATCATCAACGGCTTTTCTTTTAAATTGTTGTTAAGTTTCTGTTGATTTATTATTTGTTCCGAAATTTTAAAATTACTTATGTGATCTTTAAAATTATCT